CGCTATGTGTCTCCTAAAAGGACAGCAGCCGTACTATCGATATATGGAAAGGGTGGCACCCAGTTGGACACGGCTCAATTGGATACGAGCCACTCACAGCGCTTGAGACTACAAAACTCCTAAGCACCGGTCGCTGTGATTGGTGGTGTCCAATCGAGCCGTGATCGATCGGGATCATCCCTATGGAAATCTATATGGACATGAATGGTATATAAACAAAAATAATGTTACTTCAATTATTTTTACCTATGAAATAAAAGACCCTTTTTACTTATCTGCCCATACCCAGGCACACAACACTTCATGTTGATGCTTTGTAGAGGGTGGCACCCAGTTGGACATGGCTCAATTGGACACGAGCCATTCACAGCGTTTGAGACTACAAAGCTCCTAAGCACCGGTCGCTGTCACGCAAGTGCACGTAAGTGACGCAAGTGACGCAAGTGACGAATAATAATATAACCTCAATTGATATTGGCAAAAAATAACCTGGAAACCAGAGCGGCTTTTTAATATTATTAAAAAGTGCTGTTAGTTAGATTTATTATATTTTAAAAGATTTCATATTTGCATTCAGCAATAACACATAAAAAAAACTTCGGATCACTTTACGTCCCATATTTTTAATATTTTCGTATGAAAAAGGAAAGTTATATACGTGGTTCATATTGAGTACAAATTTTGCTAGAGTGGTCCAAATTATACTTTTTATTTAAATCGTCACTGCATCTATATGAATATATGAATATGACTCATTTTTGTTAAATGTTCAGAAGTGTTCCCTCTTTCGAATGTGACCATTGATTCACTTTCGACCTCAGCAAAAAATTAAAAAAATCAAAGCTTAGGATGTCCAAATTGGGTCCAGTTATACCATATTATCAACTTTACAGGAAAAATAGCACGAAAGACAAAAATTGTTTATTTTTTTCTCAAAGAGCTCTGAGAATTTTTTTCCAAAATTTTTTATTAATTTTTGAGTACTATATTTTCTTATATATATATGTGTATATTGGCAACTATTTTTTTCAACACGAGAAAATGCGGTACTAAAGAGTTCTAAAAAAATTCTTGGAACTCTATGAGAAAAAAATTAATAATTTTTGTCACTTGGCTGTTTTTCTGTAAAGTTGATAGTACTTGAGTAAAAAATTATTGAAAACTAATATTCGGCAATTTTTAATAATTAATATCTTGTTAAAAATGTAGAGGACTTTTCGATTTTTTCAGTCTGCTTTACTCGCACACGAAATATTTGGTAGTCATTCTGAGACATTCTGTATATACATATATATACATATATTATATCTATATAATATGTATGTATGTTACGGCACACCCCAGTGAGAAATGACAATGGAATCGATGTCGAATCAACATCGATTCGACGTCGAATCGATATCAATTCGATGTCGATTCCATTGTCATTTCTCACTGGGACATTTCAGATTATTAATTTTTTCAAGAATAAAATTTTTCGTTACCTGCATCTATTTTCGATCTCTATTCTTCTTCACTCTTTTCTAAAAGAACATAAGTAATGTTTCTTATTTATAAAAATAATAATGTATTATAAAGATATATATTTCAAGTAGACGGGGAGGCCGAGAGCTAAATGTGGATTTACTCGAGCGTCGTGGGGACCTATTGGATTGTGAAGATTAGATGCT